TCAGCTGAGCAGGGAGACTCTCTTGTCCCACCTCCTCGCCAGAGTGGTGAGCTGCGTGGGGAGGCGGGGAAGAGACAAGCGGGCTCCTTCTGTGATTGGCCCCATGAGGATGACAAAGGGCTCCAGTTCCGCCTGGCAAGTGGTAAGTGGACTGGCCCGTTCGGGGTGGGGGGAGAGAAGGGACCTCCGTGAAACCTGTGATGCTGCTATTTGCATTCGTATCCCCAGGGATACAAATAGCCCATGTCTGCTTGTAATCTAGCCCTGCTACGCCATCACATACCTTGAAGTTTGCTCCACGGTGAATGAAAAGTTATTTTTCCTACCTGCACAGAGGTGTGAAATTTCTGAAAATTTCCATTTTCCCCCCAGAAAAAAACCAAGGAAAAATGTTTTTCCCTCCAGGAAAAAAAATAATTTTTTTGAAATTTTGCACCTCTATGTCTACAGGATTGGCCAGCCCCTTTTCCTTGTAAAGCGGCATTTTTTCTTTCCTGCTGAGGGGCTAACTATATTTTGGTTGCTGGACAAATTCAAAAGGGCTTTTTATATGTATGTGGACTGGGTTTGTTGGCTTGTCTGTGGAGGACCGGGGGGGGGGGGCTTGTTTTGCATGTCCCGCAGGATAGTCAGAAGGATAAGGAAAAAAACCATTAACATTATCCTCTGTCTGCTGCTTCTTCTCCTCCCTTCCAAATCATGTTTAGGTGTTGACAGATTGGATAAAGATCTCACCATTGGCCAGATGCAAGGTAGGCTTCTTAACCTTCTGGGCTAAGATGGATTTCTCCGCTCTTTCGCATTTGATAAATAATTTCGGTCAGATGAGCCTTTGGGTTATGAACTCCAGATCTTGAAGCCATAGGATTGTGTATGTATGTATGTGTGAACGCAGTTCTATAGAAGCATGGGAAATCTGCTGAATATCTACTGCAAGTGGAACTCAGAACTTGTGTCTTTAAGAGGAAAAAGCAGAGGTGCTCTTAGAAGTTAGGTAGGCGGTGCTTGCTGCTGGTTCCCAAAGCCAACTACAACTTCCTCAGCCAGAAGACAGTGACAGCTGGGGTCTTAACCCATCCGGGAAAGGCTGCATCCATTTTGCTGGATTGGCAAAGTCTGGCATGAGCCTGTATCAATGTTGGGGGGGGGGATTGTGGGCAGCCGTTGGCTGTGAAGGTCATCCTTCACAAGTCCTAGCCTTCCCTTATGGCTAGGCAACTCAAGACAAAACGAAAGGCATAATAAAGGTTCCCCTTGACATTTAGTCCAGTCGTGTCTGACTTTAGGGCGCGGTGCTCTTCCCCGTCTCCAAGCCATAGAGCCAGCGTTTTGTCCATAGACAGTTCCGGTGGTCACATGGCCAGCGTGACTAGACACCGTGGTGGTACCTATTTATCGACTCACATTTTTACGTGCTTCTGAATGGCTAGGTCGGCAGGAGCTGGGAGGAGCAATGGGAGCTCCCTCCGCCTCGTGGATTCGATCTTACGACAGCTGGTCTTCTGACCTTGCAGCCCAGAGGCTTCTGCGATTTAACCCGCAGCGCCACACGTCCCAAAAGGCATAATGCCAAATGCCAAAACTCCAAGAACTTCTGTAAATGGTAGCTACAGTATTGAGTGTTGTTGAAGGCTTTCCTTGTCCTCTGTTCTGTGTGCCACGGCAAAAACTGTTGTTGAAGGCTTTCCTTGTTGTTGTGCGCAGGGTCCTCTGTTCTGTGTGCCACGGCAAAAACATAGCCCAGGACCTCCTGAGAGTCGTAACATGCCCTCTTTTCTTTCCCTCCAGGGAAATTCCAGATGCAAGTCCTTCCACAGTGCGGCCACGCAGTCCATGAGGATGCTCCAGACAAAGTGAGTGGCTGAGCCGCTGCAGCTCCCCTGGCAGCCTTCCGTGGGTTGGAGGCTCCTGGGGTTTTGCAGCCAGAAACAAAACAAAACCCGGAGCCAACTTCACAGGGATGATCCGAGACATTTTGACCCTCTTCGCCATCCTGGTTTGGAGGAGGTGGGCTTGCCCTGAGTGAGTTCTGGGATATTTTTACACAGGAAGTACTAGAGTACCAAGAACTAGCATTTTGGGGTTAAGGTTAGGATTCACTTTACATGACTTGTATTTCCTGAACCACCACCAGCCCACCTCCCGAGAGAAGGCCAACCCACTAGGAACGACACTGTGTCCCTTCCGTTTCTTGACATTGTGGTTCTCACCCCAACCAGATCCTTCCCAACGTGTTGCATCGGCTGGGGCTTGGGGAAAAAAAAAGATAATCTAGTGGCAAAAAAATGGGTGATCTGTTGGGACAGTTTTTCGTGGTAGGCAAGCAACGGTGCATTCCCTGCAGCTGAAACTCAGGGACACTGTTCGGAACGGAGAAGGTGGCAATGTCACTCCGCCTTCCTTGTGATTCTCACACCTGTGTGGATTCTGTGACAGATCATGTCCCCAGGGGACTGAAAGGTCCCATCCTGCTGCTTGAGAGTCAAAAGTACACTTTCAGCTTCACCAGGAAAAGTGTTAAAGAGATAAGGAAGTGCAGACAGTAATTTGGGCATTTGCAGGAGCTTGGACGGAAGAGAGCAGATTTACTAAGCTACCTGTGCTTAGAAATCTGCATCTCTTCTCTATATCACTGCTTTAACCTCCAGCCTTTCTCCTCTCTCTTCCAGGTTGCTGAAGCGGTGGCAACTTTCTTGATCCGTCACAGGTTTACAGAGCCCGTTGGTGGATTTCAGTGGTGAGCCTTGACTATAGTAAACTATTTCCAAGCTGCAGTTCTAAATTTACTTTCGTTTTCCGAACAAGTTTTCCTGCTGTCGTTCTATATAACGAAATTCCAAATATTGTGCACTTGGTCTCCAATGGGTGAATTTTTTTCTGTGTCTCTGGGCTGAGTGTTCTGGGTTTCTGCTAAACAGAGGTGACCAAAGGCCAAGAGACCGTGCAGCCAAGCACAAAGTTTTGGTCCGTCCTCCCAGGCCCCAAACAGCCATGCGACCTCTGAGCCATCTCTTCTTAACCTTCCAGATTCCACATAGACTCTTTCCAGCTGTTCCTTCCTTCCTTCTTGGCCCAGTTTACCCTCCTGACACCTAAAACGTATTTGGGAAGCTGCTAACAAATTCTTACTGGAAGAGCATGTCGTGATTTGGGACCCCAAGCTTTATAGCAGGGCTGGGGAACTTTGGCTGCCAGGCTTTTGTAGCTTTGCTACTCAGAAGCCCTTACCGATAAGCATGCTAGGAGGGGGTATCTGGGAGCTGAACTCCAAGACATCTGGAGGGTCACAGTTCTGCCCCCCCTCCCCAATCAGGTGCCCTCCATGGACTCCAGACACAGCTCCCTTCTTTCCTCCTTCCGCGTGAGCAGATGATTGCTGTTGGGGGAGGAGTTTCTTTCTTGCCTCCAGTACTCATCTCTCTCTCCATTCTCTGAACAACATCTTGGCAGCAAGGGAAGAAAAAAACCCTCCAGCCAGCGTGATGGGCCCTCCGTTGGCATCCCCTGCGGGATAAAAGGTTTGCTAGCGAGCACTCCATGGGCTGTGCCTCTGGATACCTTGGAAAACGTTGGCAGGCGGGATTTTGAGAGTCGTTGCCCCTGAAATGGAACCTTTGAGCATCACCGGTGGGATTGAGATGATGAGAGAGGGGTTGGGTTCATTGTGCGACTGAGATCGTAGAATCCCACCCCCCCGGGAGTTCATCACTCCTGTGGCGGGGGTGGTCCGGCATTTTATGAGTTGTAGGCCGGAGAAAAATGAACTTCTCCCAAGGGCTGCTGAAGGTCCCTGACTCAGGTGGGTTGGATGTTGTGCCATCTCCGTTGGCCGGAGGGTGCGACGGGTTCCTCTGACTCTAGGGTTGAGTCATGGAATCAGCAGGGGCAACAGATCGCCCAGATTGTCTCTTGTGACCTAACCAGATAATCTCGATCTCAGAACAGCAGACGTAGAAGAGGGACCCTACAGATCCTGGAGTCCAGAACCTGTTACGGAGGCCAAGGGGGGGGGCGGGAATTGAACTCCCAACCTCAGACGGAGCAGCCAGATCAACTAAACCACAGAGCTAACCATCTTTTTCTTTTTCTCCTTTCGACAGCGTTTTCCCTGCTTGTTAATAACCCGGCGATCCTGACTCGGCGCCAACTCCCTGTTGTAAATAAAGCCACACCAGAGGCCACTGTAACGTAATCCCGTATCCTTCTCAATCAACCAAGTTCCGTAACCAACACAGAACAGTCTGTGGAAGAGGCATCCCGTGAGACCTGGTGGACGCCGAGGTTCCTTTTTCTGTCCCCACGCCCTTGTCCGGCTGCAGACGCCCTGTGTTCCTTTTCCCCCCCTTCTGTTTTTTTTTATTTTTTGTTTGTTTGTCCGTTTTAATTTGCCCTTTGTCTAGAGGAAGTAAGCCTAGAATACTCAGAGGCTGCCTGAGAAAGTGCAGCGGACCACGAGGAATTCTTGGATCATGGCCAGTTGACAGGTGATCTTAGGCTGAGCTAGAACCCTGGCTGCTCGCTCTTCCTCTCCTTGGTCCATGGAGCAGGAAAACGAGCGAGCGGCCATCGTGCGGGCTGGCACCACGGCTCACCGCACGGAATGAACACATTCCACCGGCTGGGTCTTTCCGCTTGCTCGACAGACCGGTGCTTGCAAGCCCCCCCAAAAAAGGAGGTTTTCCAGATTGCTTAGGGACTGGTGTCCTGGTTTCCTGCCCGATACACCGGCTGCCTACGCTGAGGCTAGGAGAACAACATGCCCCTCAGATGGGGGGACCACAGCCCCACAAGACGGAAGGAGAGGACGACCGACAGCAAGGGTTTCCGAACAAGATTTTCAAAATCTAGCCTCTTACAGGAGCTGGTTTGCAGCTGGGCTGTTGTTTGGGAAGCTTTGGGGGGGATCATATTCCTGCTAAGGTCTGGAATCAGCAGTCAGGAGGAGCCTGGGAGAGGCAGGCCTATTTGGAGAGCAAGGTGAATCTAATTCAGGTCCACACCTGAACTGAAGCCCGGGAGCAGGTCCTGTTCTTTGTCCTTGAGCTCCAGTCTGTTCCTTTTGCCACCTCTGCGTCCACTGGGCCACGACAAGCCCACGGGGGGCTCTTTCCTTGTATATCTGTGAGCTCCCTCTTGAAAGCACCCTTTTCATGGTTACCGATTCACAACATCCAGACCAGGGAAGGGAAAGAACACGAATCTGAAGATTCCGTGTACCCTTCTGTATTCTTGGTTTGTTTTTCAGCAGGGAGTGGGGTGGGTGGGTTAATATTTCATAGACCATCTGGCCTGGAGCTTCCTGTTCATAGTTTTGCAATAACCGGCGAAACAAAAGTGCATTTCTGTGGATATTTCATATGCAAAGGGCTCTTAGCGGCAGCCGATAGAAGCCAATAGATTTGCGGTAGCAGGTAAAGGCTGTTTGCTAGGTGTTTCCCAAGCTTGCAAAAAGAAAAACCCTCAAACCTTTCCTGGCTGCTGGCAAGAGAACCTCCCGGTGGATTTGGGGGTCCAGAAGGCTCCAACCCTTTACCAAATCCGTGCACGGTGGGGGATATTCATGCGTGTAGAGGAGACTCTTCTTCCTTTTTTCCCTGTGTGTGCAGCTTGGAATAATTCCCTGGAGTGGTATTGATAGGGACGTAGGGACCCTCTTTATACCCTTTGCCGTGAAGGCCGGGGACGCAGGTCGTGATGGGGTGCAGCCTTTTCCTGATCCGTCCCCGTCGATCCTGGGGAGACGCTTGCTGGGATCAGCCCGCGCATCCATGCTCAGAGGTCCAAGACCTCTGGTCCACCAGATGAGGGCATCTCTCACACGGACATGCTGAAAGGGAGTCCTTGACCAAAGTACTCCTGGTTTTGTCCTTCCTGCCACATCGCCATCACCCCTCTGCAGCCAGGAAGAAAGCCCTTTTTCCTCACATTTGGGGAGCAAGAGGGACGTTCCCTGCCTCCCCATTTAATGAGATCGCACTTCAGTCCGGGACCAGCCTGTCAGTCGTGACGAAGGGAGACGCCATGTTCAAATGCAACAGTGATTCTCAAACTGGGGTCACCCAGATGTTCTTGGCTGGCAGCTCCCAGAAATCCTGGCCAGCACGGCTAAGCGGCGAAGGCTTCTGGGAGTCGTAGTCCAAGAACGTCTGGGGACGCAAGGTTTGGAGTCGCTGAAAGACGATACGGAGCTCCTGGCACTTAAGACGGAGACACTTGTGTCCGTGGCATAAAGAGTCAGGGCCCTGAGATTTCAGAAGAGAAGAGAGTGTTCCCTTGTGTTTGAGGTGTTTCCCAAAATTAAGGTTTGCTCTTCCAGTGAAGAGGTGCAGAGCTTGGCCAGGCTTAGAAGGGCGAGCCGTCCTCTGTCTTTCCAGCAAATGGATCCCTCTTCTGATTGCTTCCCTCCTCCACCCATCCCTTGTTTGGCTGGCCGGGGTGGGGTGGGGGTTTGAGGGTGTGTCATGCAACCAGCCTGGAGTGAGGCTCCTCTTCGGAAGCCCAGCTTTGATAATTTGGCCTTCAGTTTCCCCAGAAGTGCATTTCTCTGTTCTTTTCTGGCTTCAGGCAAGCGGAACCGGCCCGCCCTGCTCCCAACCGTCTCGGTAGGATGCCAGCATTTTCCTTCCCTTTCATGTCATGGTTTTCTTTAAACTGAGTTTTAGTTTTTGATTTGAAGGCTGCTTGCTTTCTCCCTCTCCCCATGTGTGTGTGTGTGTGTATTGTGAAGTTATCTCGGACCTTTGCAGCCCCCACCCCACACCTCAAGCACAACCAGAGTGAGGCCATGTGGCAGAGGGACAGCGGATGGCCGGAATCACGAGGCCAGCGGTCCCCATCCGTTCTGTACTTGATCTCCATGTGACTGGCGATGTTTGAGGGCTGGGCAGAGCTTAACTGGGTCCCACACCCTGAAGCGGGTCTCCAGCATTTTTTCCACCCCATCCTCCCCCACTTTTTTTTTAAATGGGGCTTTGTCTTTGCCCAGTTCCCTAAGGAAGTGTTTCCCCCTTTAGCACATAACACACTGTTCCCCAGAATCTGTACTACTGGCTTTTGGCGGGGGGGGGATTCTTCTTCTCCCCCATTTTCGTTTAAACCCCTGCTCATGATGATGACCCTTGTTTTATGAAAATAAATATTTCGCTACCTGCTGTACTGTGGCCTATGTTCTCTGCGGTTGAATTCTGGATACGCCATGGTGGCCAGGGAAGGAGTTCACAGAAAAAGCACCACAGTCCGTCTCAACATGCATGATGTGAACGCTAGAGGACAAACACCACTAGCAATCCCTGTTCTTTAGATGCGTTGCCAGGAAGTAAGAAGAGACACAGTGGAACAGACACCAGGGCTAGCTCTGGTCCAGATGTCTGTTCCACAGCGGGACGCCCGTAAAATGCAGGTGGCCGATGCTTGGCTCAGGAATACTGCAAGAGAGAAAGATCTTGGAATTATCATAGATCACGAGCTGAATATGAGCCAACAGTGCCATGTGGCTGCAAAAAAGGCCAATGCTATTTTAGGCTGTGTTAACAGAAGGAGAGTCTCCCAATTCCACGAGGTGCTGCTCTCTATTTGGCACTGGTGAAACCTCATTTGAAATACTGTGTCCCGTTCTGGAC